CTTCACACGGACGAAAGAGGGAGTGCTCAAAGAGCGGCTCCCACAGCAAGGAGGGGCCTCGTGAATCATCGCGGTGCCCCCTATCAAACGTTATCTTACCAGTCTGCGTGACACAAAATCATCCAGCACATGTATCCAACAGCAATGTTCGCAGACTCACGAACAGAAGGTACGTCGTTCAACAGGAAGTCGTTCGGCCGGGGCCTGCCTCGCATGCCTTTGGTGCCGGTGTGTATGCGTGTGTAGGATTGGTGGCATCTTCCCTGTTCCTTTCTCGCTTCCTGATCTTGTTCTCGTTACAGAATATCAACGTCAGCATCCTCCCCTCCCCTCCCCTCGCCCTCTCCTTCCCATGTGAAAACCAAACCACTCGCGTCGGTGTCTCGCCGGGCCCCGCCCTTAGTCCTTACTCTCTTCCAAATCACGTCTTCGAAACTCCCGTCGGACGCGTACTGCGCGAAGTCAACACGTCCAACCAGTGGTCGACACTCACAGGCGTCCTCATCAAGGTGAGCAAAAGGCTGCCCGCAGAGCAGCAGGTGGACGCGAGGACCCTTGCCGGACTCCTGACCTCCGAGCCTGCCGCGGGACTCGCGAGGAACGGCGTGTGGACGACAAGCTTCGGCACCAAGTACATGCCAATCGTTGTAGTCAACCGCGCGTACGCTCGGAAGGTGGCCCAAGGCGAGGAGCAAGGCCGCTGCTCGTGCGGCGAAGGCGGGCGGAGTGGCTCAGGCTCGTCCCGCGTATTTGGGTCCCAGGACTACAACGCCGGCAGGTATGCTCTGGAGGCGAGCGCCCACAACTCCGGTTGCCTCTGCTGGAGACCACCAACTACAGATCACCTACATAGCTGGAGAAAGGGGTTTGGCTTGTCACTTGGCCAAGCTGGACCACACATAAACATCGCCGCAAAAAACGGGCAAAATCGAAGCACTTGGCGCTCGTAGCTCCCGCGTGTGTCGCAAAGCACCCACGCCCCCCGATCATTGTTTCCCCCCCAAATGGCGCTTGTGGACAAGAAATGTTCCACGTGATCCCCTCCGCCCCGTTGTCGACCCGTCGCAATTTCTCGAGCAAAGTGACGCAGGTGCCCACGACATGCGCGAGAGCTGCCAGCTGGCCTGTACAATGCACAGGGGGACACCAGCTCACCTTGCGGGGAGATATTTCAAGGTGCCGGTTGCTCCGCACGTTGTGGGTACCTTGACAGGATCAAGAACGCCCCAAGGGTCGTTCTAAAGTCCCGAAATCGATACCTTAGAAAGCCCTTGAGACACTTCATGCGGACCTTGTGAAGGCATACACAATCTTATGTGGAACGGTCACCTTGGGATCTCCTCCCAAGCGGTGCTGGTGTCCACCTGTGTAGTTCACCATTCAGCAACCGTACATCGAATCGTACACGTGTTTGGTACGATTGTAAACCAATCAGGAAGCGTCTTTTATCGTGCGGTCGTACTATTGTATTTTCAAGTCTTTTGTACGGTTCGAGCACGATTCAAATTTTTGTTGAGGAAATTTGTGAAGTCATCATACAGGAGGTACAGAGAGGAACGTGAGCGAGGTGGATATTTTTTGGCTGACACAAGATGTTTGTCGGCCTCATCGATATCGATCTCAGTCAGCGTGATCTTGATTGATGAATGAGAATTTGGCTGGTGCAAGGTGTTTCAGTCTCATCGATATTGGTCTCTCATTCGGGGGGGGATTCAACCCACCCCCACCCCACAAACACAAGACAAAAACCACCACACCACACCACACCACACAACACACCCACGACACCACGATTGGCAACACTCGAGGTAAGCGCGGACGTCGCACACGCGACGATACTACCATGCTCGAAGAGGCCACAATCGTGCACGAGGCAGTGGGTGGAGCGAGCGAGATCAGCTGTCAATTCCCAAGGTGCCGCGGGGCAGGGGGGCGCTCTAGCTCTCGCTTTCCAGGAGGGCCGACGGGCGTCACTTGAACAACCCGAACAAGGTGACAGGTATCACCCCCCGACGACTGAGGCGACGTGAAGTCCGTGGGGACGACCGGAGACGCTTGCAGCAGCATCCTGTGGCATTTCTAACCGGAGAAGGGGGAGTGGGGTACAGACTGCGGGGGAACAGAATGGATTTCAACGGCAAGGATGGGCGAAGACCCGATCGGGGAGGTAGACCTGTCCACGGATCGTAGGGGAAAAAGGCTATCGTCTTCGAAGCAGGTTCGTCTGGCGAACCAGGGATGGGTTGGAAGAAGCAAGATTTCCGCCCCTCCACAACGACGAGCAGTCTCTCTCCCGCGTGACCGGGTCATGTCTCTCCATTGAAGGTGCTGCCACAGCGACAAAGGCGATGGGCAGCGGGCGCACTACCCATCCCCAAATTTCGGCGTGATCTACAAAAGTTGTACTGTAGCCTTCCCCGTCTGCTCCTTCTGGCTTCTGAGGCGTCTGCGACAAAAGGCACTCGACATGAAGAAATGCCCCACCATGTCCTCTTACACCGAGTATTACTGCAACTTGGTACACCTTAGATGCGATTTTTCATGCCCATAGTTGCCCTTTTTCGCGCACAAAACGACACCTACCTGGGTGCAAAAGGACAGCTATTGTACTGACCCGAAAAACAACCTTCATTTTTTCAGGACGGGTGTCTTTTCACCAACTTGAGTCCCACTCATCTTTCAACCACCTCACGTCCTCCACGGAAACGTCCACGGCGAGAGGCGGCCCTACGGCCCCCGGCCGCAAGAACGGAGACGGCTCTCCCTTCAACACCTCGCGCGCGCTGCACAGCACCGGCGAGCTCACCCTCGGCGTTGGTTCCGGCAGACGAGACGTCATAAACGAATACCCCTGCCCGACCGCGGCCGGCCTCCACGCCGTCTCGACATTTCGAAACGGCTTGCCCCAGGCGAGCACGGCCCTGGCAATGTCGACCATGATCGTCGGGTCTTCCATTCGTGGTCTCACTCTACCATCACCACCGCTGCTACTGCTGCCGCCGCCGCCGCCGCCATCCTTGCTGCGAGCGCTCCAAGACTTGGAACTCCTTGGCCCGCCGCCGCCGGTGTTTCGACTGCCGGTGGAAGGCGTGCGCTGGGTGTCACCGCCGTCGTCATCGTCATCGTTTTGGAGCCGTCTTGCGGGGGGGTCGGCTAGGAACTCCAGCCCGAGAGTCCGGCGGCAAAACACCAGGAGCTCGTCGGGGGTCCGTGGCTTCAGCAAGAACTCGGCCTGCGTTGGGTTTGTGGCGGGTAGCGTGTTGAGTTGGTGAGGCAGGCGTGTTGCGACATGCGAGAAAACGACAACAGGTTGTTGTGTTCACCTTAGAAAAGGTTCCGGTCTCTGCTCCGTACCTTCAGCAAAGGTACCGGTCCAACTGTGTGGACGCCTTCCGCAGTCACAGTCCAACTACATACCAAAAAGGGCAGGTGCGTTCCGACACATTCAAAAGTTACAGCACAATGGGGAGTGCAATCAATTGAACGCCAAGAACAAGCAAAGCGGTTTTTCGATTACCAGGCTGGCGTTGCATGCACCAAGCGCGAACGGCATTCGAGGTGCTCGGCGAGACTCGAAATCAGCACGGAAAGAAGACAAGATTACCCGCGCCGTAATAGGCTACACGTTTTAGGGTACGGATGGACAGCGCCCGTGCGCAGCATTTCCGATCTCGCCGGGAAGAGCATCCAGAACTTGAAACGAGAAACACAGTTTCGGAAGGGCGCTGTGCGAAGAGTGACAAGACGCCTTACCACGCGGTCTTTCGAATCTCTCAGCTTGCTGAAGTCGCGTTCTCTACGCTCAGCAGCTTCGGAACCCGCGCCGCGTATCGAGGAGCCTTCGGCGCTTTTGTCACCTCCGCATTTCCCAGCCTCCTCCTTTCCTGTAACCGAAAAACATGTATTGAAGGGCGCGCAGAGGGCGAATCACCAGATCAGATGTCAAATCTCCAAAACGGGTCGCATCAAAGCAACATGTGTACTTTCTACCGACGTCGTGCTGATCCAAATGTCAGAGGTCGAAAATCAGCACGCAAGTCCGCTGACAATCATGCGCGCATGGGCAGCCTTCGCCGTTTGGTTCTCTCGTCGAAGTCGGCGCACAGCAGTAGAGTGCCAAGAGGAACAGCCGTCGCCATGCTGTGGTACTTAGATCGGTCCAAATCGAACCGTGCATCCAGGTGAAAACCTCAATCAGAACGCCGCGGAACAGCAGCATAGCAACAACCGCGACAATATCACAAGCGCACCTGGCCCGCAAAAAACGACGACATTTGGAGCATCCTCACCGGTAGAAACCAAGTCCACCAGCGGCGCCAGGTAGCGGTGGCTGCAGAGAGCGTTCTCGGGAACCTTCTCCACCGTAGCACGGAGAGCGCCGGCGTTGACAGGGAAATACTCCACCGCGGCCTTGGGGTCACCGGGACCGCCCTTACCCTCGATACTGCCGCCTTCGTCGCTATTGTTTCCGTCGCCGTCGTCGCTAGGGGCCGCTCCCCGTCCCTCTCTCGTCCTCGTTCGTTTTCGTGGGGTCTCGTCATGCCTCAGGGGGGGGTTCCTAGGCGACAGCGCCGCCTCCTCTGAGCTAGCGCGGCCATTTTCTTCTTCTTCACTGCTACCGCTATCTCGTCTGCCGTCGTCACGGTGGCCTCGTCTCCAGCGGGGATCGCCCGTACCGCTGCCCTGGTCGCTGTGACCGGCTTCGCTTTCTGAGCACTCTGGCCTGTTCCCGCTCTCACTCTCTCCACCGCCAGAACTCTCCGAGTCGCCGCCATCTCGGCGATCCTCGCCGGCTCCCCTTCTGCCGCCGTGACTCCTCTTGTCCTTGCGACTTGGCGCCCCCTGCCTCCCAGACCCCCTTCCATCATCGCTACCGCTGCTTTCGTTGCTGGAATCGCCGCCGGTGGCGACACCGTCCTTACCATCGTCGTTCCCGCGACCGTTGCGGCGCGGAGGTTTGCCGCCCGCTCCCGCAACCTCTGTCGCAACCCCACCAGCGACTGCCGAAGACGATTTCTTGGACGCAGGAGGTCTGGGGGAACGATGATAGGAAGCGGCGTCCGGGTCCAAGCAGACGTCCCCGCAGGGGAGCCTGGCAGCGTTTCGGGTCGCGAAAAAGGATCGAGATTAAAGGCCGGGCGGGGGTTAAGAGGCAAGGATATGGGCGCCGGCGGGTGGGGGGGTGGGCGTGCTCGTGTCTTGCATTCCTCAGATGTTCGACCATTGGCGATGTATGGGGGGAGTGTGGGGTCGCAATATTTAGAGAGGAAGCGTAGGCGATATAAGTCGAGAGCTTTCCCGCATGTTGTGTCCGCGAAAGATGTGGTTCATTTGAGCAACGCACCGAGGGAAAAGCAATGTACAAGGCAAAGCGGGATGGTGAGCTGGGGCAGGCAGACCCCGGATGCTGGGACGGTTGAAGCGCATGCTTGGAAATTTTGGTGCGGCTTCGCTGTTGGCGCCAGAGAAATGGTCGTACGTTGGTAGCAATACAGAACAAACAACACCTGGAATGCGGCACCCGACCAATCACAACTGACTCGATTTTCGGGGTAGTCGGCAAGTTGCTAACTCTCGGTTCGAACACAGGAGGGATGAAATCCGAACCCAGCTGCGTAACGCTTTATCACAGGGAAGGAGACATTCACAACGGAATCCATGCCCCAACCTAGCCCTCATACCTGCAGTCCTTGTGTCTGCCATACATTTTTTCAGTGGGAAACAGATGGTCTGTGCATGCAACATTCGGTCTGCATACTCTCTCCCGGTGCACCAAACCAGGCACGCACAGACTGTCGTTCTTAACGAGAACGCATGAAAAAACAAAATCTTACATTGACTGGATGCGGTCCGAGAGCAGAGCGCTACGGGGCGACGCCGGCACGGCCTTCTTCCCACCGTACTCGCCGACTCCCCCGCCTCCGACCCTGCGCATCTCCAAGCGCTGTCCGTACGCATCCCCGGCAGACGTCGCGTGGACGAACCAGAGGTCTGTTCGAAGAATCCATCAAATGAGGGCCGTGAACCCGACGATGTCAAAGTTTCGTCACCTCAACAAAACGGCGACGCGTATAGGCAGCAATTGGCAGTCCATCAATAAGGCTCTACTATAGTACGTGCTCGATGATGTATTGTTCGCGGAGACTCTGTTGGTAAGGACCTGTATCACACCCTGGTATCATAACCTCCAAAACGGAAGTCCTCCAGACTCGGGCTAAAACGCTAGCCACAAGATGTTGACGGGATACGGCGTTGAGCGGCGGGTACTGGTGGACCGTCTCAGGTCGACCACGCTCCGCACGTCTTAGATAGGGTGGGGTTATATCCGGCGTGTCGGTGTGATAAACATTGAAGAGTTCGCGAACTCGACTGCCGCCGACACTCACACCGTCACTCGTTTCCTCGCAAGTGTACGTTGTGACCTTGGTGTCATGGAGAGTTTCTCTCCGAATCATTGTGTACAGGCATCGAGAGACGAGTGGATTGTCGGGTATGCTACCTCTTCACGACAAAGCGACTCCATTGGATTAGTTACTAGAGAATATCCGTCAAATTGAATCGCCATGGATGCCCCCCCGCCTTACCAAAGGGTACTCTGTTCCACGAAGAATTCAGCGTAAGCGTTTAACCGTACGGAGCTTCGAAAGCATATCCTTCACGTCATCCGCATGCCCTCACAAGGCTTCAGCTTTCTCTGCAAGAAAAACAAGCGGATTTTCCAGGGGTCGACTGCCAAAAAATCGGCTCACACAACGCGTGGAATCAAACGCCGCATGATCTCGACACAGAACCCTCACCGTCGCCCGCGGCAGCAGCACTGCTACCGCGACCGCCTGGCGCAAGGCCCAAGAGGAGTCCACCGCTTCGGGTTTCCCCCTCGCTGAGAGGCGTTGCCGGCAACGAGAACGTCAGGGGTCGCCGCGCAGCCTACCAATGACCGGGAGGCAGGCCCGGCCCGAGAACGGAACGCAGAACGGTCGGAGGGGTAAGGGTAAGAGTTGTGAGGAAGCACGCGCATCGTTTTCCCGGAGCGGGGGTTGCTGGCGAAGGGGGAGGGTTGGTGGGGCTTTAGCCTGGAAGGGCTGTCAGCACCCATGTCAGCAAAAGTGCGACTTCGCCTTTCTTGCCTCGAACACACAAAAATCGCGGGAAGAAAACGGAATCACTGATTGCCTAGTGCATCACGTCTGAACGGCCGAAAGATGCCAAATATCGAACTACACCTCTATTTAGCGACAACTCAGGGCTAGCCTTCCTTCGTCTACAACTCGAAGCCCTCCTGCACCGAGCCCAACGAACGCCGAAACAACAGCAAAAGCCGATTCGTAACTGATCGGCGAAACAACGACGATGCAGGGTTCCACCCATTCCTCCCCTCTCTCACCGATGCAGCCGGGGATGTGTCGTCGAGCCCGAGCCGAGCCTGGTATCCCCTCCACCCCGGCACGTCTCTTGCCCAAGTGTTCACGTAGAAACCCGGGGAACGTCGTCCGGACGCCAACACAATCTCTGATTGGTCAAGGAAACACGTGAAATGATGGTGAGGGCAAACTAAAATGGAAAATCGTAGCCAGAGCTTCTGAAATATATATCCTGACACGGCCATAATTGCGGAGGAAAACCAAAACACACAAAAAAAATAACGCGCGGACCACACCCCTGGTGCTTACTGCACTCGCCGGCGGGAAACATATCGCTCGTAGACGGTGGGACAAAAGACGCCCTCTTGGAAAACACAACGACTGCATATAGCGCCCGCACTCAAGACATCGGCAGCTAAGGCTTCATGCTCAACACTACTCCAAAGCTAGCTAACTGAGGGCGCCACCTGCGACCTCGGTAGCTCCCACAATAAAACCTGTGTAGCGGCCAACTGTAGCCCACAAGAGGACCCAGGCCTCGGCCAACAGTAGTAGAGGTTCGAAAGTGCGGGCGCAATCTGTACTGTACGCTACCGCCGAGCACCTTCCGCTTCCTCCGCGCGCTCGCCCGGCACCCCCGGCAGCCACCGCAGCTGGTCCACCTCTTGCGGCAGGTCCCACCGCGCGACCACGCCCTTGGGAAACCTCGAGTCCATGCAGGCCAGGTGAAGCCCGGCCGCGACAAAGATGTCGTGGGCCGACCGACGGCCGACGGTGAGCGACCGCACCCTCGGCTCCTCTCCCCTGCCCCCGAACCTCCCTGGCCCCCCGTCCACGACCGACAAGTCGCTGAACCCCGTGAAGTACACCCCGGGGTCCAGCGCCGGCGCCAGCGCCGCCGGCGACGGCTTTTCGCGGAGGTCCACCCTGTACGCGCGGTGCCGCCCCGCGACCCACAGCACCCGGGGATGGCTTCCGTAGTCGAGGGCGACGTCTGCGTTCCTGGCTCGGCGCGCCTTGGCCGCGAGGCTCGGGCGCTCGGGGCCCCCCGGAGGAGCGGCGATTGGGAGGGGCCCCGCGCCGTGCCTGACGGTCCCCCTCTCGGGGTGCCAGCTGAACAGGCGGAGCTCCTCGTCGAGGAAGGCGGCGTTCTTCGGGGTGAACGGGGAGCAGGCCACGCAGGTCAACCTCCTGGAGAAGACCAGCTTTTCGTCTTCCTCGAACCCGTCGAAATCGAGTTGCTCCTCCTCCCCCTCCCTGCCATCACCTCCCCTAGCTGCCGGTGCCGCTGCCGCGCTCTCCGCCGCAGCGGGCAGCCCCGCCGCCACCTTAGCCCGCCGCAGTCTCCTCTCGTAAACGCCGCGCGCGTTGTATCCCCCGAGGTGATCAAGACGGTCCTTAACCTTACAAGCCGTGGCCAGCGTCGCGCTGTAGTCGCACCGCACGAAGACGGTCGGCCGCGCGTTGGCCCTGGGCGCCACGGCCGATATCTGCCGGATCGGACCGGCGTGCAGGGCCAGGCGGTCTTTCAGCTCGATCGCGGCGGAAGCGTCGTTGGACCCAGCGCCAGTCTCCACGTCCGGGCCACGAGGATCCGCCGTTCCATCAGCACATCCCTTGCCGTTGTTGCTGCCGCTTGGGGTAGAGGGTGACCGACCGCGGCAAGCCTGCCGGGGCCGCAGCAAGGCGAGGTGGCTGTTTTCCGGGCCGCTGGCGTGGGCCAGCAACGGCGGCGCTAGGCTCGACAAGCCGAGTTCTTGTCCGGCCGAGAGGTTCTCCAGGCAGGACCCCGGCCACGACAGGTCCGAGCACACAGTGTCGGGCATGTCCCAGGAGCGGGCGGAGCTACGAAGCTTGCTGGAAATTGAACGCAAGTGTGAGGGGGGAGGAGTTCAGGGACGGTCGGCTTAGAAGCAACACCCACAAGCAGCACGAGAGAAGCGCCGTCCAACACGCAACCTAACCACAACGAGAAAAACGTCTGTTGTCTCATGTTCGAGCAAGTTTCTATCACTCACAGCTGAGGCAATATTTTTTCGGATACCAACGATTTCATGGATTGGGACAGCAAACTGGTCGATCCTCTCCAATACCGCGCACCCCGCCTGCGAATTCGGTAGCTTAGACCAATGCTGCTGCTGGAGGCTGGCAAGGGCCATCTCTTCTACCGCAGCAGACTACTTAACACGCGCACACGCACACGCTCCGTTGTGAAAAACAGGGACTAGATATTGTTGCCCCTCAAACTTCATTTCCTCCCAAGGGGTGCACGACCGAGGAAGTTCAAAAGAGGTCTTCGATCTGTTGAGACCGACGTGTCCATGCTCCTAAAACCCACCTTTGCTCGTCGATCAGACCCGCAAGCAGCTCGACAGGCACGCAGATATCTCGCCGGTCTTTCAAGAACGCCGAAGCCATCTTGAACGGCACTTCTTTCTTCTCCCCAATGCCCCAGCGACCCTGCCGCGGCCGGCCCAGCGAGGCATATCCCGCGAAGTTGCGCGACAGCACCACCGGGGCGCCCACGGCCGTCAGACATCGATCTATATCAAAACGAAGCCGGGAGAGGTATCAAGAGCAGTCCGCGAACCAGTGTTGAGATTCCTCGAAAGGTGTTGCAGTCGCAGCGTTCATGTGCAGATCGGCGACCTGTGCGCTGTGCTCGAGACGCATGCACGCCGACAATCTTGCATTCGTAGAGCGCGCGAGAGGAGGAAAGCTTGGCCGCCCGGCGGGTACCCGTAACCGTTGGACACCACGGTAGACTGCGTAAAAGATTGCAAGTCATCGCGTGGACCGGAGTCATGGCACAGTCCGGAGTCATTGCACCCCCGTGGGACCAAAAATGACATGACTAAAATGTTGAACTCGATTTCCGCACAGGGTCCGCAGACACTACACAGAGATCCGCAGTCATTACACAGAGGTGCGATGACCCGCAACTTAGGGTAGTTGAGTGCCATCGATTCCGGAGCAAGTTTTACCCCTGCAGTCATGCAAATGCCCGCATGTGAGCTCGGGTGTTGTATATGGCATCGCAAACCCACATTTGAGAGCATGAAGGACATGGACCACAGAGGTATTTCCGATGGTGCCGGAGTTATCGTACAGGGGTGTGCGTTGAATATCAAAAGCAAATGGTTTTATTCGATTTCCGCACAGGGTCCGGAGCCATCGCACGGTCCGGAGTCATCGAGTGCGATAAAAAAAAAACGGCGAAAATGTTACAGAAAACGACCGCACGGAGGTGCGATGACTCGCAACCTTACGGTATAGTCCTACGCCGGCGCAATACATGTTCATAGAACGTGTTCTCAGCGTATCTCGGGTCTTGTCGCGCCCTCGCACGCTCATCTCCGCTGCAGCTGCGTGCGAATTCCGTGTTTTCACGACGTTTTTCACGGTGGAATAGAGAAGCGAATGGTCGAGCATGTCGGCACGTCATGCACTGCGAGTCATGATGCACGTGGTGATTGCAATTCCGCAGCCGCTAGGCGTTCGATGAAAGCTCACGTAGATAGATAGCCCAAGGCGGGTGAAACGAGCCATCTGGTGATTAGTTCTTGTGATGTCGGGTTGCGCGGGCATATCCCATACTTTGCGCAGAGCTGCTGATTTGGATACATGTCGGCTCTGCGACTATGCGCCAGGCGGGTGAGCTCAAGTGTCGCTGCAGGAGTACTGCGTGCGGGAGATTACCGCTCTGCTGTCGTGCGGCATCCAACTACGGTTAGCTTCCCACCGACCTACAACGGCATTCCGAAATGCCCACATGCAACCACAAAAAGAAAGCGAACCCATGACTCGGCAGTTGCAGCACAACGACGCAGCAACACCAGTGTTCGGTGGGCAGCGACAAATCTGCAGGCGCGGGTCCTTCCACCTCACCAGAGTTGAGCAGGAAGTTGGCATCCCGCCTGAGCTGGAATCCTTCCACGTGATGGCTATCCTCCATCTATCACGACGCTCTCCCTCCCTCCTCCCGTCTCCACCTATCTGCCAACCTCCCTGGCGGGAGCTGCTGCTACGTGGCTGTGCGGTACTGCTGTATAATGCTCGCCGGCATCACCTCCGGAGATGTGCGGCGCAATTTCGGGGCTTCATCTACCCCGCGGTGGCGTTCTTCGAGAACCTCTCACGTACGTCCGGATTTTTTCGATGGTGTTAGAGGTGTCGGGTGGGCGTGGGGAGTGCTGGTCACATTCTCCTAGGTTCACGAAGGGGACGCGTCAACATGGGAGCCTACAAGTACCTGGAGGAGCTCTGGCGGAAGAAGCAGAGCGATGTGCTCCGCTTCGTGCTCCGCGTGCGCGCGTGGGAGTACCGCCAGCTCCCCCGCGTGTGCAAGGTGTCCCACCCCACCCGCACGGACAAGGCCCACCGCCTCGGCTACAAGGCCAAGCAGGTGAGCATGGAGGCAACGTAATCACCCAAAAGATGGGGTTTTGCATTGGCGCTAGGAGAGCGTGCCTGCTGCGTGCCGTTAGGTTGGGGAGGTACTACTGCGGTGTAGATCCTACGTGCTGTCGGGCGAGCCTTGGGTGCAACTCGATTGAGTCCATCCAAAAGCCAGCAGCAGCGTCTCGGTCGCGCGTGTCTCCTCGTGTCCACACCCCTAATTCGCGCCCTTGCGGATGTTGCCTGAGATCCGTAACCAAGCACACGCTCGTCAGCGGCCGGTGGTCTGTCTTCCTGGCTTTGTCGATACATGTTCGGTCGAAGGGTGGTTAGCTCTCTCTCTGCTTTACACCAATGCACCCATCACCGTTCCCTCCTCTTGTCTTCGTGTCTGGGTGGCCTTCCATCTGTATATTGCAAGGCAAAAACAATCAGCAATTCAAAAGTAATACTTACCAAGTAGAGCTCCCTACATTCGCTCTACGGAGTTTCCTAGAGTTTCAGTTGTTGGGTCAGGTGGTTCCGAATGGCTGCATGTAATCTGATGCATAATCAGAAGCACTCCCTTTCTGTCTTCTACCTCCGGGTGGTGAGTGCTGCTCACGAAACGCACTATTTTGTGTGCTGCTGTAGTGTTGGATCGGTCTCCATGTCAGGCACAGACACAAAGTGTTGCAAGTGAGCACAAGCAGCGCCGCGACCACGGCCGATGCAAACGTCTCTCGTTGACCCAGTCACTTTCTCGATGACTTGTCTGCCAGGCGACAGCAATAGCATAGCAACAGTGCAACAGCCGTAAAAATCAAGTTAGCATGGGTGTTGTAAAACGGTGGCACTGAGCAGTAGACCAGAACGCTGTTACCACCAGGCTGCTACCTTCCGTTTTCCAGTGCACACCAAACTGCTGTAAAGACTGGCACCAGAATAGGCAGGACAAACACATTTCGCTGACGGGCACCCATGCACACCCGTGAGTGCGCTCTCCTCGGGCAGCATTTCGAGAGTTACATGTGCATATTGAGGACACCGACGGTGGTTGGCTATACCCCGCCGCCTGCTGCTTGATTAGGCGGACTTGATCATCTGGTCAGTGGAACTCACGACGGATTGACTTTTTTGTTCTTGCACCCAAAAGGTTGTCTTGTCCTGTCATCTATTGTGCTCAAAATCATACTAGAATCAGTTACCTGGGCCTGGCATTGGGCACACTGCTCTCCTGAGCGAGAACGTTTGTAAATGTGTCCCATTGTCTGGTCAAGTCCATTACAAGGCTCTGATTAAGAGCTATGCGCACTTTCTATTGAACATTTCCTCTTAAAACCGTAGCTGGTACTGCTGTACTTTCGAGACCAACGGAAGCTGGCCCGATGTCGATGCTCTCCATGTACTCAGCTAGCACGCCGCGGCTAGAGCTATCTGCTTGGCAAGGACTGTCACAGCAAACCTCGATAGTTGTTGACGCCATTTTCAACCACGCTCTGCGTGTTCGTCACTCTTCCACATGTCTTGTCCATGCTTCTCCCGGGCAATCTCTTTGCCGCACTCCTGAGCATGCTTGTCGGTTGTCTCCATGCACTTTTTCTTCCGTGTTCCCTCCCTCTCGCGTCGTATTTCTATTTTTGGCCGTGGCAGGGCTACACAATGGTGCGTGTGGCGGTCCGCCGCGGTGGACGCAAGAGGCCCAACGCAAAGGGTATCGTGTACGGTGAGAAGCAAACCAAATCAAGACCGCTGTCCAGTAGAATTGCTGTCTTCGAGGTTTTCGGGCCTGTCTTATCCTTTTGGCAGATCGATCCCGTCCTGGACTGCCTGCCGATGAGCGTGGGTTAGACACCAGGCAGTCGTTTATTGAAGTACCTGGGGACACGGCCCCACAAAACTTGTTATGTTGGAGGTTGATTGTGCGGACAAAGGGTGATGAGGAGTAATTCGTGGCTGGCTACACGCCGCCATCTAAAGGTTTTTGCTCCTGGGAGTGCTGGTGCACATATTTTTGCTATTCCACATTCCGGGAGGCATCCATCCGGTGTTGTTCTCATCAAGACACGTGAATGTCGCCAAGTACCAAGCCTCATATCCACTGCGCACTCGTTGATAGCCCTGCTGGGGTTGTCCAATTCAAGCCCACATGCAACGAGGTTGTAGTAGGCATGCCGGCGGCGCTACAGCACCCCCACAACGGGCATGAGCTCCGGAGTTGTACGGACAGTGAATGTGCTCTACTGTTGATGGCTCTGCAGTCTCACAACGTCTCTTTGGTTATAGAGCGGAAAGTGATGGGAGACAGCATTACGGTACAGGTGGTGGTCCATCCAAATTTCGCTGTTGTGCACATACACGACACCGCAGCAAACATCGTCAAGCAAAATACTTCTGCGTTTTGTCGCAAGGCGCTTCGAAGAGGGATTGTCGACGGACGAGGTGCTCCTTAGCCCGCATATTGCACGATACCCGCAGATGGGGTTTGTTGTTTTCACGACGGTGTTTGGAGCTTCCCAGCTGGTCAGGAGTTTCCGCTTACTTGGATTGGTAATACACCTGTGCTTTCTCGAATCTGGCATAAGCTGGATTGACTACCACATGCCGCCTTTGAACGCCTGCAATGTATGCGTATGACCCGACTGCGGCATTTGCGTTCGCACCCTTGGCACACGTCTCTGGCGCTCGTATCGAGATCAGTCGAACGTATGTCGTCTGTCGCGTTTTGTCCAAAGGTTTCTTCTGGGGAGACTAATCATCGCTGCCGTCCTTTCTACCCCCCCCCGTTCATTCCCTCGATCGGCTCTATCGACAGGTAAACCGAAGCACCACGGTATCAACAAGATCAAGGCCGTGCGCAACTTGAGGTCCGTCGCCGAGGAGCGCGTGGGCGCCAAGTTCACGAACATGCGCGTCCTCAACTCTTACTGGATCAACCAGGATGCCACCTTCAAGTACTACGAGGTGGGTAGTGAGGGCAGAAGCTCGCTCGTTGTTGTTGTGTTTGCTGTTCTGCGTCCACGCTACAACTTAGCCCGGCAATCCTTTCACCCCTGGCATGTGAACGAAACTCGTGAAAGTGAATCGGCCGGTATAGACATCCAAGACCGTTTTGCTTTTTCGTCGGCTAGATGATCCCCCCGGTCGTCAAACCCCGGCCCTGTCATCGCTCGCGCCTCCCTCCATCCTCTTCAGAGCCCCGCAACTTCCTGGACATTTGAGTCGTGTCACCAACCGCCCCCGATATTCGGTCATTTCTTCGTGATTTCTCTCGTCCCGTTCCGCAGGTGATCACCGTGGACCCGTCCCACATGGCCATCCGCAACGACCCGCGCATCCAGTGGATCACAAAGCCGGTGATGAAGCACAGGGAGTGCCGCGGCCTCACCTCCGCCGGCCGCCAACACCGCGGCCTGCGCAAGAAGGGCCACCGCGCCAACAACCTCATCGGCTCCTCCCGCCGCGCGGCCTGGAAGCGCCGCAACACTCTCTCCCTCAAGCGGTACCGCTGATCTGGGAATTATGGTGGCCCCCGGGCGGGACTGGGGCGGCGAAAAACGGCGTTGGGGGGCTCCGCGGTATCAGCCATTGGCGTGGTTGGGTTCCTTTGGTGTTGGCGGGCGCAACGTGCAAGGAAGGGCCGTCGTGGCAGGCAGCTGCTGCGTGGGTCGCTTGGTGTTGCTTTTTTCCGGCTGCAGAAGGCTTTTGACGCTTTCCTCTAAAGTTTTCTTGCGTTTTTCCTATGGGCCCTAGGCCCCCCGTGTCTCAGGGCGTGTAGTAGCGCCGGTGACAAATATTCGTGAACTTGGAGAACAAAAAATTGAAAAACATCGTTGGAGAAGCCTCGCGAAGCCGGTGCGTGCCCTTTTCGACTACATCGCAAGTGTGGCTAGCATGGAGCTCGCCGTGTTTGTTTAGTTTCGTTCGTCCGCTATGCCAAAAGTTGGTCGGGGCTGCTCTCCACATGAGAAGCTTCAAGGCTTGTTGGTTCTCGTGGTTTTTCCTGGACGAGCTTGCACATGTTGACCTCAACGCGCTCACCCCCCGGCGTACGTAATGCTGGGGAGTGTGGCCAGCTGCTCTCTACCCAAACACCACTGCCTGCCACCATGACTCACGCTCGAGTGCACATCTTACGCGACGGCAAATGTTTTTCTTAAATCAAATGTGAACCTGAGCTTGAAAAAAAATCATCAAACCGCAGGCCATAAGCACACAAGTCCGACTCACACACACAATGCTGTAGCACACATCGAGTTCAGCAGAGGAGGGAGAACCTTGCCTTCGGGTGGCGGTGTCAGCGTGCCTCTCATCATGTTACCATGCCAACCCCGCCGAACCCTGGTGTTGCAAACCGACGTACGTATATACAAGTGATCCTTCACTCGCTGGAAGGTGGTGTGCACGGGTCCGTCGACGGATTGTGCCAAGAAGAAACAATGGCACGCAGAGAGTGACATCAATCCTCTTGCTCAAGAACGACTCTGTTTCCGAGTCGCAGCGATCGGAACTCTCTCTTTGCACCACCTTAGCTACCGAAACGCAGCGCCAGCGGAGCACTGTATGTACGTCAAACGCGCTCACAAAGAGCAAATTCTTTCCATACCATCGGCATGTGCCGTGTTTTGCAGCTAACGATGATATTGGAGGCGCCTCTCTGAAATGCGGAGCAAAAAAGTTGGACTCGAGACGACAGCAAACCAACCAGATGAGGCCCGTCGAAGCCAGCGTTGTACTAAGAGCGGACAAACACGCACACACACTTCCCTCATGCACATCAACACTCGCACAAGATGATCAACCTTCACCAAAAACGTAACAAAGAGTGTGGAAAGTGCAGACACGCCAAAACGCGTAGCGCAATTATAAGTATGCATACAAACTCCGCAACTGAATCAATAAAACGCGGAAAATCGCATCGAGTACTCGTACTTCTGCATGACCGTTTCTTCCTCCTTCATCGTTCCCTTCCTCCTAGAGCTCTCGGGTGTTTGGCTCACCCTCCAAGCCTTCAAGGGACCCACCCGCCCACAGCAAGCCCACACGGCGTATCGGCGGATGGAACACATGTTCCATTCCTACCTCTCACAGATGACAAGGTCTGTGGCAACAAAACGTCCGCCGTGAACAAAAACAGGGCACACGTCCCCTCCCCCCGAACACCTAATGCAACCGCGACGCCCCCGGCACAGTTTGAACCTGAAACTGGCCCCCGCCCCAGACCGCCCCCGCTCCCGCGCCCTCCCCGACAACCCCTGCGGGCGATTGCGCAACTCCGATCCCTGCTTGGGCAACGCTTGCCCCGCCGCCGCACCGCAGTCCGATCGAGGCCGCGGACTGGGCCGCGGCAATGGAGGTGGCTGCCGCTTCTGCTACTGAAGTTCCGGACCTCTGGCGCTCCACGACACCGTGATGCCTTAAGCGGTCGAACGTGGTCAAGTTTTGGAGAGCCGCCGTCGCGCTGGTCCCGAAGGAAGGGATAATCGATTGTTGCTGTTGCTGTTGCTGTTGCTGCTGCTGCTGCTGCTGCTGCTGCTGCTGCTGCGGTAGTCCTGCAAACCCAGCCGCCGCGGTTCCGAGTGCGTTCGGTTGGCCAAAGGTGGCCAAATGCCGCTGCTGCTGGTAATGCAGTTGCTGCTGTTGATGCTGGCGCTGTCCTCCCGCCACCTCAGTGGCAGGGAAGTCCAGACCACCCCGTGGCGACTGAGGCGACCCCTCCTCTCGCTGTTGTTGTTGCTGCTGCTGCTGCTGCTGCTGCTGCTGCTGCTGCTGCTGCTGCTGCTGCTGCTGCTGCTGCTCAAGTCGAGGACGTTTTTCAAGAGCCGACAGTGCGGACGAGGTTCCTAGGCTATCGTCTCCCTGCATAACGGGATCAACATTCGATCGGTAAAAAAAGGCGTACGTGAATGCGGTGGCATGATGACCGAAACAACGATACAGGTGGCTGTAGACATGAAGAGGGGGAGGGGGGGGTGAGTTTGGACCTCAGAATAGAGCGGGGGAGTCGTGGGAGATGGAAGGGTGGGGCGAATGGAGAGAGAAAAAATAAAGGTTGGTCTCGAACAGCGGCAAAGGTGGTGTCGAGACGAAACCAACATTGTTGCAGTCTGTTGATGGTTCACCAAGGGCATCTGGTGGCGAATGAAATGCTGTTACAGGCGTGGGAAGCGTGGCATCGAGGGCTGAAATCTAGGATTGAAATCTCAGGAACCTGTTCGGATTTACATTGCGCTCAATCAGTTGCCAAATCGTCACAGCTCTCTTCAAGTATCAACCATTGCTAGTACCCCGAATTTGTCCATTCTATAGAGCAAGTGCGAACTCAACACACCCTTTCGCCGGCTAAACACAGGTTTGTGTTCTGTAGCGTTTCGGCAGAAAAAAAAAATCGTGGGACACAGCAAGTGGACAAGGATGGAAACCAACACCAGTAACGAAAGCACCCAGAGCTCAAGACTCCAAACAGAAAGGGCTCCAACAACAAGCACCAATCAACGACCCAAGTTGACATCAGCGACGATCGACCTCTATACGCCCTGCCTCCAACAACGCTCCCGTGGACTTTGGTAAAAGTGCGTGTCATCCATTGCACACACACCCTACTTTGCTTGTAGAGCGATATTCACAGCTCGATCCCGCCACACTCGGACGAGCGACAACGCCGTAGAAGGGCGGTCTTAGAAAGTTGTCGCCCGGAGCTGTTGCTTGGTTGCAATCGTTTCGCACCTTCTGGGATTCGGAGCAAATGAGCTGTGAAAGTCGATGAAAAGGTGCACAGATTCTTGCACTCTGATGTTACTCCACTCGTCAAAAACCCTCGCGAACGAACAAGTGCATCACCACATACGCAATAACGAAAATCGCGAAGAAAACGATCGTGCCATAGAGCACAAAGCGAGCAGACGACACCTCTCCCCCCAACGAGCTTTGGCGAGAAAACAATCGGAGCGGACGGACGCACCTGTATGCGCATCGCCTCCAACGTTGTCTGCACCGCCTCTGTGTCCATGCTTTCCCCGAATCCCCGCTTGCGTTTTGCCGCCCCGTGCCCGCCACCCTTGCCGTCTGCCACCCCCGCCAGCCTATGCGACTCGAACTGTACACCGAACAATGAGCCTCCCGCCAAAGAGCGTCGGACCTGCCGCGCATGACCGATTACGCATCCAACATGGGTTCTACACACGTAAGCGGTGGTGCATACCGTATTGAAAAAACGCTTGGATAGCTCTGCACGGAACAGGTGGTATAAAACAAAGGCAAGCGCGCGTGTCGTCACAGCCAGCAGGTGCGAGAAGAAGATTGAGAGGGACTAACCACCAAAAGGAGGCTTCGATTGAGGCAAAATATATATATATCGAAAACAGAACACGAACCCTATGAGAAGACCAATTAAGATGCAGCTGCCGGCCGTAACGTTATTCCGTATCAGCCACGGTGAAAAATAAGCGCCGCGAAATACTTCACATCCGGTGACGAGGGGTTGATCGAGCCAGTCAAGTCAATATGTTCCAAAGACAAATACGGAGACTGGCCAAACGAGGAGACTAAATCAAGACGCAGCTGCTGGGCGCAAGCTTTGTACCATATCAGCCATGGTCAAAAAACAAACCGCCGCGAAAAACTCGCAGCCATCACGAGGAGGCGTACCTGCTCTCGGAACAGGTCCGGGTTGCTCGAGAGCGCCGCGGCCGCGGGCTTGTTCACCGCGTAGTGCTCCGTGGGCTCTATGAACATGAGCTGGAGCGCGAAGACGACGGTGTTGATGCTGAGCACGGGTCGCCAGTCCTTGGTGAGGATCGGCAGCGACACGAGTCCTGTGTGTAGGTCAATGTTCGGATGCCACGCCCGGCTGGTGCACACCACGGTCGGAGCTGATTTGTAGCCGGCACGGAAAACGGCGCAGCAGGCAGAGCGGAACAGAGCGGAACAGATCGGAACGAGAACAGAATGAAACAGGAGTCAAACATAAGGGACAAGCCGACCGGAAGAGAAAGAGCAGATAACAGAAATACAAAAGGAGAACGGCAAAAAATCACAACACGAGATGAGCCGAGCGCGGAAGAAGCTAGAGGCAGGGAGACTGACATCGGCTTGGGGTAGGGCAGGATTTAGGAAGTGATACTCTTCGCTTGTGCGTGGAGATGCTGTTTCGACGATTTCTTTTCGTGAGGTACCCTCGAGAGGGGCATTCCATCTCGCAAGCGCTGTTTGTCCACTGAACGGAGCTGCAAAACATCCCAACGTTTGCAATGTAGAGATGACGCGCTACGTACAGATCGAGCACGTTTGCGCACGATACAATAACGCGTGTCGAAAAGTCGTGGTACTACGCAACAAACACTTTTTCGTAACACGAACAGCAGCAGCAGAGCGTGCACAAGTTTGATAGCACTGCTGTCGCCAGTCAGACCATCCCACATAGTTCCTGCCTGCCGCGAGAGCTAGGTGGCCTCCGAACCGCCCTCACCGAGAGCTACCTCCACATTGACCGCGGCCGTTCTGGACCTTTTCGTCCGAGGGCAACCAAGTCGGTGTTGGGCCACCAATCTCAAGGCAGACACGACAAACACTGCAGTACATAGCTCCAATACAGGCCTCACCGTGAAAAGGATAGCTGGGGGGGATCGTGAGAATAAAGTAAAAGGTGGCCCCTTCGAACAAGCCTGCGGTCATAGAAACCCCGACCTGAAAAGAAAAGGAGGAAACGTCACGAGAGGAACGGGGGCACGGGTGAAGGATATCAAAATGATACAGGATTCGACATTCCCCTAGGTAAAAAAAGCCAGTTGGTATGGTCCGTGGACATAACAATTTGTCCATTTTTTTTCCAGCGCCCGGGTACACTTTTTCTCTGCACACAGGTGGTCGTTCGGACATTTGAAAGTACCGGCAAACGCCCTGTTTCCAGGCGCATCTCTCTACGGAGATATATTCCGTTTTTTTTATTCCTTGACTTTTTATCTTCGAAAAACGGTGAAATTTTGTATCGTTTCCGCTGGGTCGTGTTTTTAGCCGATATCAAATATCTCAACGGATTTGAGCGTATCTCTGAACTCCCGAGATGGGCTTTTTTATTTGTTTTGAAAATACCATTTTTTGACGAAGATATTGACGAAAAACTGGATTTTGGAGGCCAAGTTGTATCGTTTCTAACTACAAAACTGACCGTACGATTTAAAAATAAACAGCGGCAATCGATTCCTCGGGTCAATCCCCAGATGGGTTATTTTCTATTTTTCCAAGAAAAACGAAATTTCACGAGATATCGCCATTGTTGTTGGCCCGTCATGGGAGAAAAAATCGCCAGCAGCCGCTGTGCACACACAGCCACAAACACCCACACGCGGACACACACAGGCCCATGCCACGGGCGAAGAAGAGGAAGCTCGGCCGTGGGTCGGATGGGCGGATAGTTTCCAAGGCCCCGGCACAGCAACATGATCCTCCGGCGTCTGCCGCCGATGTGCCTTCCGTTGGGGACGCACCCGACGACAGCAACACTTGTGGCGGCAGCGCTTCTTCTATGGATGAAGATGAGGAAGGGGCTGCGGCAAACGACGAAGACTGGTGTGATGAGGAACCCAGCAGGACAAGCAGTGGTGGGGGTCAGTCGATACTGAGGTTCGCAGGGCGTGCTGTGGTATCCGCAGCTCGCTCGGCAGCAAACGCGGCGAGAAAAACAAAACCCGCCGTGTTTTCTCTCTCACGAAGCCAGCAATCCCGCCGCCGAAAAGCAGCTTTGGGGCGCCAAGTCGTGGGCTTGGCCAACACTATGGGGATGTTTCTGGAGCGTGCGCGACGGCAGCAGCAGCAGGAGGAGCGGCAGGAGGAGCAGCGAGGCGAGGAGAGCTCCTCGTTCGATGACGAGATTGGTCAAGTACAGGTTGCGCCGCCGAACAGCCCTTCGTGCGCAGGCAGCGAGGGTGAGGAAGTGGACACCGGCAGCAACTGTGGCAGCATCGGCAACATGTCGATACAGTCAGGCCATGGGCTATCGCTCGAGGAGTGGGTTCGTGGCGAAGAAATGAAGGAAGCAGCTGAGATCTTGGATGACAACTGCGACACATCGGATGGACGCCTTGACGGGTGGGATTTCAACAGCGACCAGTCCCTCAGCAGCCGCAGCAGCGCCAGCAGCAGCTTAACGCCATCGAGCGGTACTGGCGGCACATCAAGTACGTTCTTCGGCTTCACTGCGAATACTCCCTCCCCCACATGCTCGAGATTCTGCCGGGCACGATGCGGCAAGTGCCGGTGGAGTTCACCCGCGCGTGGAGCAGGGTAACGTGGCTGTACATTGCTGCGTACGACGACGGCCTTGTGGAGTACCTGAAGAGCCGCAACCTCACTCAGTGGACGAAGCACCGAGAAGCCACCGCCAGGGGGGACCAGGTCGTGGAGGCAAGGGGGGGGGGGAAGACTGCCGAGGAAAAATAGGCTGCAGAGGAGAAGGCGTTGGCAGCTGCGCAAGAATGCCAAACCTTCTCCACGAGCAGGGCGAAGGGAGTGTTCAAAGAGTGGAAGAAGAGGCGCGCCATGGAACAGGCGCCAAAGGAGAAGGGGGCGGCGGAGAGGGAGAAGGAGGCATAGAGCGATGTGTCGTGATGTGTGTGCGTGGTGCTTGTGCTTGTACAAAAATGAGGTCAACACCGTTGCCGTTAATTCTTTTTTGCCGTTCGGTGCGCTTTTGCCCTTTCCGTTTCTTTCGCTGAAAAGATTATTGTTGTTCGTTGTTTTTCTGGCCCTTCCGTGGAGTTGGCTGTATCTAGCCAGTATTTTGTCTGCTGAGGGACTGTGTACATTGTCTTTTTTCCGGAAAAGTTCGTACTTGTTCCCGTGTGGTGTAGACACAGTAAACACCCGTCAGCAGCAGCTGCAGTAGGGATGTTTGTTTGCAGATATTTAATGGCGTGTAGGTGGTCTCTGTAACATTTGTACAGTGGGTAGTGGTGTTCAGGGGGTCCCGTGATGTCATGAGAGGGTACGGGGGGTACATAAAGGGGGCACCGTGGATCATTTCTCCGAAAATATTGCATATTCACCAAATTAAAAAAACTCCTCGGATATCGACGTAACTCGATGAGGCCGTCACGACCAACGCTGTGTCACGTTCCAATTCTTTTTTTTTTCACCCAAAACTGAATTGGACAAATTGTTGTGCACGGACCATATATCTGGGCATATCGCGGTACGTTGTATCCACCACGGTAGTCTAACTGATGTCCCCCCCTTCTCACATACCTTGAGCTTGAGCAAATTTCTAGTGCCATCCGGGAAGTCGATGCTAGTCGACGCGTGCGTAGCGTTCAGGCGATGTTGCGACAGCTGAAGACGTGGCCAAGAGACACACACGAACAAGGGGTGCAGGCAGGAGGAGAAGCGAGAGACAGGGGGCGGAAGGTCGGGGGCGGGGGGGGGAGGGAATGAGATATCGCCCCACACAAGGACCAAATCAACACCAGTCTTTCCGCATCGCATCCCGCATGAAATGAGAACGAGCGGATGCTCTGCTGGCGCCCACGACCACTCACACACAGAAACTATTTTCCTGTTGCCGTGAAGCCCAGGAATAGGAGGTGGAGCTCCACAGCGGGCAGCACAGTTAGCAGTGTCATGTGTGACCGAAACTCGACAAGCCGGAACATGGCTCGAATGGATAAGAGCTCAACAAAAGGTCAACACCGTTAGCAGCGTCACGGTACGAACAAAACTCGGCAAGCCGGAACGTGGCTCAAATGGATACTTTGTTCGGAGATGTTGGCTATGCCAACGGTCGGACAGGACACACAACAAACGCAGACTTCAGCTAGCGTTAACATTGGGCAGCGCATCAACCCGCTATAAATGCAGGTACGGTACGACCCATAGTGCAGGGGTGTGTCCAGAATTTTTACCTGCACTACAGCGGGCACCTGCACTATTCAGAATAGTGCGTCAATAGTGCAGGTTCGGCGCTTTTGAGGCTTTTGAGTATATTACGCCTCAATAGTGCAGGTCCGGCACTATTGAGGAGATGCTTGATTTCATGGTGTAGCGCTCATGCGTCGCGGGCTAACAGAGTGCGAAATGGATCGAGTTACAGTAGTGCTGGGTCCTGTTCAACTTGGGTGTGGACAGGCTGTCCCGCGACCTGTGTGGTTCCCCCCTGTCGCACACACAGAGATGTAGAAAAGCAAGTTGAATCGTTACTTTCTTCCTGTCTCAGCACTCGTACCACTGCACACCGTGAACTGTCGCATGAACCAATCCTTCAACATAAATACTTACTGGACGAAGCTATACCTCAGTCTTCGCCGCCCTCGTTCGATTTTGCAAGAAAATAAAAAAACACGCCAGGAACCGCACTACAAGCAAACAAACAACCACTACTGCTACAGCTGTAGACTATGCAAACCCGCCCTCACTACGTCGCGAAAAATTCTCTCATGTCTGCCTGGCGCATCCATCAACTTGAGAATCTCAAGCTTCGTGTTGTTGTTCGGCCACGCACGAGAACTAGATCCCTTCCTACTCCCCGCCTTTGTTTTCTTCGGGCGTGCGATTAGATGGATGGCCCCGCCCCAGCACCCTCAGCTGGTGACGCTTTGCGCTTGCCAGCCTTGGCGACGCACTTGCTGCAGATGCGGTGCTTTTCGTCGTCCTGAAACATGCTGCCGCAATTGCCGTGGAGCCGCCCGTCACACCCTCCCTTGCAGACGGGGCCATGAGGGGCTTGCGGCGTTCTGCTTGTTGATGGCGGCACAGTTCATCGTCCGCACAAGGCTTGTTGCGTTCCTGCGTTAGCTGTCGGGTCTGCAGCAGCACGTGTACCCTGGTTTCTGTGTTGCGTCTGTCCGCTGTCTTATCCGTGTGTTTTTTTTACTAGCATCGACCTCGCTAACCAGCTGACCAATGAAAATACGTCAGTCTGCGATTGAAAAAATAAAACACTTCTAGACTAGTCTAAATGTCACAAACTGGGACGCCATGAGGGAGCGGCTTGGGGGAGGCTAAGCTATTTGCGGATTAAAGAGAAACGGTAGCTACAGCAGATTTGCATGTCGAGAAGGCTGCTACCTTGCACTCTAGCTCGTTTTGGAGTGTCACCGCCATCTTCCTTCCTTCCAACTCCTTCGTTGTCACTATCGTTTGTGTGTGTGTCCAACCTGCACTATTACGGGGCACCGCGGTGCTCAACCTGCACTATAGCCGTACTGCCCTCAATAGTGCAGGTCCTGCACTATTGAGGGTGCTGTCTGTGTGAAGAGATTTCACCTGCACTATACCGGACACCTGCACTATGCAACCTGCACTATAGAGAGCCCAGTACTGTACTACAAGTAGTATTTACCCTGCACGGCGGGCGTGCCATTTTCGCTGCACCCCTTTACCCTTGAAGCTTGCTGTACTGCTGTATACGACGGGAAGGGGGGGTTAAAGCAGCAGCGGAGCCTGCGTGGAGGAGCGACAAACCACCGTGGTGCTGGATAACAAAGGCAAACGGCCGCAGTCCTTACGGTCACATCCGTACTGTTGTACCTACCAAATATGATGTCTCGTGCCACCCCGCGCGTCGGTCGGAGCACATGGCGAGTTTTTACGGAGGTCATACATTCAAGCGCTAAATCGGGGGGGGGGGGGTTGGGGCACGAGGAAGCAACGACACGCGCTGCCGCTTCGAATATTCTACCCTCGCTCCCTCCAAAGCAGGATCGATCGCCCCTTGTGCCATGCCATGGAGCAGGGCGTGTGCCCGGTTTGACAGTGGCAACACGGTCCAACTTCTGATTCTCTCGCTCTGTCGCACAAGAGCTGCAGAAATAGAGTGCACATTTGTGCGTGCAACTTTGATAGGAGAATAGAGGGAGATGGGAGAGTAGGTGGCGGAAACGCATCGGCACACACACAAACGTGGACCCTCTCCCGCGCTGCTGTCAAGGCTGTGTCCGCGCGGTGTGCCGACAAAAAAATGGGTGTCGGTTCTTGGCATCTCTCTCTGAAAGTAGATATGCACGCTGCACACCTATCGAATGACTTTACCATTAACCACCCCGAAGAAAGCAACCGACAGTCTCAGTGAGTTCATCCAGAGAACTGCGACGCGGCTGTAGCGGAATGGATGCCCCGAAAATAACTCCTGTCCCACAACATTCCCACTGCGGGCCGAGTTTTGGTGCCCGCTCGCCCCGGTAAACGTGTTTCTCGTCGTACCTCCGCAATGTCTTTCTTCACTCGGAGGGCCGCCAGGTTCGCCTTCGTGTACATCTTTACGTGGAAGCGCACTTCTCCTTCCTCACGCCTCCGGAGAAGTACGTGCACGAGGTAGAGCAGGGCGACAGATGAACGTGTGAAGTGGGTGTGCTTGAAAGGGGGCAAGGTGCGTGGGTTAGGTTGGTGTGTGATGTCGTTTCGACGCCGACGACGGAAAGACCCTTGGTACCCCTCCCCGAGCGAGCGGCGCATTGATACATCTGCGAGCCCCCCCGGATGCCTGCTGTGCCATCACAGGCAGAGCGAGAGCCCCAGTCCATTGCACAGCAGTTAGGGCATCCTTCGGACAGACACAGCGAGAGCGAGAGAGAGAGGGATGTCCACCACTCGGAGATTTCGCTGTGATGATCTTCTCAAGTTCAACAACGTGAACTTGGACGTCTTGACTGAGACGGTGAGCAAGCAACTACGGGAGCTGTTCGGAGCTGCTACTCTGTCGCTTTTATACTATAATAGGTACCATTGGGATGCGCTCGAATGTATATTGTGTACACGTGCGCACCATCGAATTGTCCACACGACCTGCCGTGGACGTAGAGCAGTACAGCAACATATGAGTATGCATCTGCGCACGTTGTTCCATTCTAACATAAGGACACAACAATGTTCTAGTATTTGCAGTGTTTGCACTGATGTGGGTGCGGAGCAGTACTCAGCAGCACTTGCCCATTTGTTGATAAATAAGGTTCCCGGAATATTCTCGTTATTGTTCTGGTTCTGTTGTGCACACCTCCAGTGCCAACCTAGCCTATCACCGTGCAGCAACCTAACGCTAACGGTGCACAGCAACCTATAAATAGCCCTGCAGCAATAGCCCAACAACCTAGCCCTCACAACTCTTGCGCCGCGGCTCAGCCTGAACGGTACAGCAGCAACTAGCTTTTCGCCGTGCAACAATTGTAAATATAGGGATGACGGTGCACAACAACCTAGAGCTGACGGTGCACAACAACCTAGAGCTGACGGTGCACAACAACCTAGAGCTGACGGTGCACAACAACCTAGAGATGACGGTGCACAACAACCTAGAGATGACGGTGCACAACAACCTAGAGATGACGGTGCACAACAACCTAGAGCTGACGGCGCATAGCAACCTAGGAAGCGCCGCGGCTTGCCGCGGCCTAGGCTTGCTTGTGGTGCAGTGACCTAGCACTTTCCCAATCCTATTGGTTTTGGTCGGGTCGGTTGGGTTGGGGTTAGGAATAGGGATATGGCTACATGGCTATATGCTAGCTTTGGTGCGGTTAAAAAAAAACGGGCAGCAGCAGCAGCGGGTCGAACAGCAGCCGGTACAAGTGTAGCTACGGAAGGATGCACACTACCCATCGGGGTACATTTTTTTCGCCGTCCTCCCCACCCACCCTTCTCCCGCCATCCTCCCCACCCACCCACCTACCAGGCAATCCTCGGGCTCTAGACTGCTGTTGCATACGGGAAGTTTCCGAGTACTTTATTTTCTCGTCAAAGGGCTAAGCACCGCTCCACAGATGATCTGCTGTATACTACACAGCACTCCCGGATACGTATATCTACACTGATCACAACTGCCATTGTTCGATAATACATCCGGAAGAGGTAGGCCGTTGACGGCGACAATTCATCGCTCTAGTGTAGCTCTGCACTTTGCACCCATGAGGTTACAAGCTTCATAGTCTAGACTTGTCTCTTGTAGTACCGACGCGCGCAGTTTCCGCAGCGTTTCCCGCAGCGACTCCATTTATGCGTATGTATGTCACGGTCGCTTTCTCCAATATCATGTTCGCATGATCCGAGCTGGGGGTAGCTCGCCGCAAGACGTGTGCTATGTAGGTTGTCGGAAGCTCGGCGTGTTCGCGCCGAGGAGAAATATTGTTGTGATCAATCGTCTCCACTCGCACACACAGTCCCTCATAAGGGGGCGACGCCGTAATGTAACAGGGGTGCCTAGCACATGCCTGGAAATCCGTTCTACTTACCACACAAATTACCCGATAATCGCTCTACCTCATTCCATGTGAACATTCCGTACCATCCACTTGGCATTGCTACAAGTGTATCAATCACAGCATTGCATTCCTCATGCGCTCGTGGGCAATTGGTTAAGATGACACTACATAAGGCTGCTGCACCCTCCCTCGAGGTATGCTCCGCAACGGAAGCTCTACGTGTGATCCGCGTCGTCGACTCCTTTGCTGCTGCTGCACTTACACCAACCGCACTTCCTTAGCCAAGTAGTGATACGTCCAGTTCTTTTTTTCTTGCCGATTAACCTTGACGACATGGTAAGAATTCGGCTGTATCTAATCTTCCACTCACAACGATTCTAACCCGCCGCCCGATGTCTTCTGTACCATGCGGTCGGCGTGCATTCGTTGTAACACAACCATGGGTGTTCCTTCCCCCCGTCTCCCCGACCTCCCCTTTGGTCGCCGCACGGAATCCAGTACAACATGCCCTTCTACCTGCAGTACCTAACCACCTGGCCGGAGTACTTCCTCATCAAGGAGTCGCCTGACGGCACCCCCATGGGATACAGTGAGTCGATCCGCGTCGCCCCAGCATGGCGCGTCCACGACATTCCGTATGGTGTCGCATGATTCCGCGGTGCCCTCTCAAGCAGCCGTGGTCGTGGGTCAGGCATGACGGTCGCTGTGTGGGCTTGGTAAGAGAGTTCGGTACAGTATCGACAAGTCAGGGCTGGGCTCACTCACAACGGCTGCGGTTGAACGTTTTGTGAACGGATACAACGCTTGGGACTAGTAGTAGCCCACTTCAGTGTCCGAGGAGTGGCTGGCCCACCTGGGCGCATCAGGGCAGGTTGCACCACGTGCTGTCCTTCTTGCGCGCCGTAACATCATTCCAAATATTTCCGCGTCACCCCTTTTTTCATCACATGGTGCCTCCCAGGAAACAGTGCTTTGTTCCGGAAGTGTCCGGTCGGTGAGACCATGTCGCACCCTTGCCCCAGCGGTGGGAGAAAGGCGTGCGTGTTCTTCACTCGCCCCACAATATACCAATTCAAGCATCTACCGATCAGCTCACAACAGTCCTGTCTTCGAAAAATGCCCGTGTGCCCGTGTGCAGTCCTGTCTTCGAAAAATGCCCGTGTGCCTCACAGCCTCGGTATGGAAGGTCACATGCCGGCTCTGCGTAGGTGAACGATGTGGCAGAGACTGGGCGTGAAGGCTATAGCTTAGAGGTCGGCAGCGATACATGTCTCGATTTTGATGCCGCTATTGTAGGGAATCCAATGGAGCACTGTCAGTCGTCTCACGTTACGGCCTACTCCCACTTGCCCCTCGCTGTGCCTTGTTCCGACCTTGTTCCGACCTTGTTTCGGGGGGGACGTCAAAAGTCATGGGCAAAGCGGAAGGGCAGAAGGAGTTGTGGCACGGGCACGTAACCGCGGTAACGGTGGCACCGGAGTATCGCCGCCTGGGGGTGGCCAAGCAGCTCATGGACAGCCTCGAAACGGTAAGCACGCCGTGGTCGTTGTCGTTATCGTTATTAGTGGTGGTTGTGGTCGTGGGGATGGGGATGATGATGCTGCTGCTGCTGGTGTCGCTACTGATGATGTTGATGTTGGTGTTGATGATGATGCCGCTGCTGTTGGTGTTGCTATTGTTGCTGCTTGTTGTCCTTTGTGTCAGTATATGCCTCTGCCGGTGTTTTCGTGGTTGCCGTCGCTGCCGCTCTACGAGTAGCTGACCTTGACGCTATTGTTACTGCCGCCCGCCGTCGTCCTTCCAACATCGAGCATCCTTTGCCCTCCGCGACACAGAACACCTAACCCTGTTCTTAAATCCTGGATCATCGAGTAGTGCGCTTCTTTCCTTAGCGACCCGCGTACGTTTTTTGTGTTCCCACGGGCCGTGCAATAGGTTTCCGAGAACGTGTACAACGCCTTCTTCGTAGACCTGTTTGTGCGGGTCTCCAACACTCTTGCGATCAACATGTACAACGCTTTCGGGTACTCCGTGTATCGAAGAGTCCTCGGGTACTACTCCGGGGAGGAGGATGCTTTTGGTGAGACGTTCGAACAGGTCGACCTTGCCGGCAGTAACATCGATATGTGCATGTAGTCGCAGGGAGAGTTGGCGCGACTCTCCTTTCCCCGGCGGAAGTTGGTGTGCTTCTTCTGCAGCGAAAATGTCCTGTCGTACTTTCTCAGCACTCTGATTGTTTCCAGTAAAAAGACATTTCCTTCACGAGGTGCTGCTGTATTGAGGATATGTGCATCAGAGTCATAAGGTCTAGTTTGCTGTCTATTAGACGCAACAAATGCAGAGAAGCCCCAACGCCGTGCTTTGTTCGTACCCTCTCGAAGCACATGCGTATTGGGTGCAAGTCTCATCATCCCCGGCACGTGCACGTTTTAAAGGTGGCAAAAACTGCCATCGGGAGACTCGTGTTGGCTGCTCAGCGCGACAGCTACCCAATGACTGTACACCAAGATCGAGTGCGTGGCAAAGAACGGGTATTTCACAAGAATGCTAACTTCTGCAGATGGAGAAACCCTTACAAAACTCATGATCAGTGCATGATATCGACCCCCTCCGGCTACAATCGAATCCCCCCCGCCCTTTGTATTGTCTCTTGTGGTACAGTAGGCCAGGTAACAAAACACCTCACAGCTGCCGTAGCGCCTTGTTGGCAACGCTTTGATCCCGAGGGACTCGTTCCACAAAAAAAAAAAATGCTTCTGACTGTCCCCGTTCCAACGCCCCCCAACCACCCCCCCAAAAAACCCTCGCACGGACTCCACCAGACATGAGAAAAGCTCTCCCGCGAGATACGGACAAAAAATCGGTGGTACCGCTGTCCCATCCCATCATGCCGGAGGATCTGGAATGGTGACTATCTTGCCTGCTCGGCGCGCTGCTGGCTGCTGTGCTTCTTTACGTCCGGCAGTGACCGCTCCCTAGTGGCAACAGCTCCACGAAGTGTTGGCTGCACCGAGGGACAGGGGAGTCGCCGCCCAGAACCGGGGTGTATTGGTCTTTTGCCGTGGGCGGGCGCACTCATCAGCAGCTGTATGTATGTGTAGCATGCGACAGCGTCGCCGTTTACGAGCGGGCCTTTTTATTCATGGTTGGGCCTTCGGAGTCTGGTGATGCGCCTCGGCACCCAACCATGAAATCTTAGTCGTAGATAGTGCTTCGATGCTTCGTGGTCAAAGGGAAGGGACAAAAGTTGAATGGATACGATAGCCGTTGTGTCCACCTCTCTTCTTCTCGTCGCCTCTCTCTGTCGTCTTTACATTGTTTGTCCCGCATTAAGAGTCTTGTTGTCGATGTCCCCTTAGTATTGTTGGCGTCGTCGTGCCTCTCTCCAAACGAAAAAAAAACAACGGAACCAACACGCCAAACCACGGCGACCACCTCGAGGCACGGCAGAGCGAAGGCTTGGGAGCACCAGAAATAAGCGATGATTGAAAGAAGTCCCACCACGTGTGGGGATCATCGCGTGGTCCCTTTGGGCACTTGGTTATTGCACCGCAGTGGTCACACGCGAGACGGTGTACGAAGGTGGGAGATACTTGGCTCTCGTTCTTCTCTCGCTCTGAAGCGGGTCTTTCTTTCTCCTTTTTTTCTGCCGTAAACACATCGCGATTTGCCCTCCAAGTGAATGAAACATACCGTGGTCTGGGGTATAGCCTATGCCCCCTTGCGTTCACCCTTCCCGCCATCCTCGGTCGGGATAAAGTCTGCTCGGAAAGTTACCCCCAAGATTCAGAGGCATGGAACACCCTTGTCGAATTGGCCCCAGGGAGAACGTGTATGGTGAGGTAAGGGCTTGACGTGTTTCTTGATCAAAAGCAACAAGAGGTGTTTCTCGCACGGAAACCTATTGCGCTGTAGTAGTATATCATCCCCTTCGTGCGCTCAAACGTGGAAGAAATGTAAATGCACCGTTGTTGCGATTTTCTCGCATACCGTGTCAAACGTTTGTTCGCCCGTTTTCTCGACAGTAATCTAGGAAGGGCAAAATCAGATGTTTGAACCCCATTCGACTTTCCATCGAACCCGCACGTAAACGCTCCTCACCACCGATAGCAAAAATCAACAGCAGTAGGGATGAACAGGAGGATGGCCACATACATAACCAAACCCTTATTCTATCCTGAAACCGAACGAGCACACGCACGCCGGCCGCCGGTAGCACCAACTTCAACGTCGCACAGCACCACCACCGAGCGGTGTATACAACGCGCAGGGGATTGGTCCATCCTATCAGGCATTCCAATGTAAACCTCGGCATTTTCCGTCCCATCCCTACCTACACCGCACATGCTTTGACATAAAACACAGCTCCAGTGCAGGATCTCCAAAACGTCTCAAATTGTGCTCGACTCAATATAAGGTGGCCGCCAAGTCGTATGATCGGAAGCGGTCTGTACTTTCTTAACGAACGAACCAAGTACAGTTAGTTGGCGCCTGCACTTAAGAATTCGACCGTCAAAAAATTGAGTCTAAAAAAACTCAGAATCGAATAACCTGAACACCATTTGTGAGCCCGGTTAATTAAGAACCCTTACACTCACACCTACTTCTTTATAAATTATCTGTCATTCGAAGAATAAGCCCAGGGGCTAAGGACCCCACTCTCTGCCAAAAAAGCAGGATTTCTTAAGCGCGGGCGCTAATTGTATCTTGCACCAACAGGCCGTGCATGCTGCGACTCGCGCTATAAAAACAAAATCAATGTGGGCGACCCGCTCTATCCGAAACATCAATATGGAACGCGAGGGTCTGTTCATAAAGTGGACACCAACAATTCGCAGAAAAATAGGAACGCCGCACGGGAAACACCCTCCCTTTGCAACGTACACGAGGGAAGAAACACAACCGTGTTTGTCATTGGTATCCTTGAGTTGCCATCGTCGCATTCCTATTCCACAAGCTCCGGTGAACTGACTCCGGCGCGCAACACTTACTTGAAAACGTATACTAACGAAAGAACTTACCAAAAACTTTATTGAACAAAAAATACGTAGGCGTACAATGTTTCAACAACATACTCATGATACTGCATGCCACGGGAAAATGGCGCATAATAGACTTCACCCCTATTTCAGGTTCTTCTTTCGGTGATCACCACATACTGTCAAGCGTCCCATGGGGACAAACTTCCACGACCAGAGAACTGCACGCCTGCCGATACATGGGTTTTCATGGCCGTCGTACTCTGGAATGCTTCCCTCAAATCCGAAGATACCATCTGCAGGTGGCTGAAGGACGGGTAGAGCCTTTTTTTGTGGACAAAGACATGGCCGATGGCCACCTTCATTGCCTCCGAAAACAGGCGGTTTCTTGCTCCTGCAAAGTCACCAGGGAAAAATCGCACACAAACGTACGACGATTTGAAGTCGAAGTACTATCATGTAGTTATCGTCTTTCGTGCTTGGTCTATCAAGACGGTATAACACGATGGCCATCGCGTCAGCATGTGGAACCCTCATGCATGGTATCTGTCGAGAAGCACAATGACCACTAGACCACCAGTCAGCGCTGACTGGTGGTCTAGTGGTCATCGTGCTTCTCAACACTAGACTATAGCCTCTGTGCGTGCCTTCAACCTCGGACGCCCCCGGCGAAATCATCCTCCTCTCGTTAAAATATGGTAGACATTTTTTCCCCCGATATATGTTAGGTACACAGCAGTAGTGCGGTCGCAACGCATTGAGATGGCACTGGTGAGAAAATGTTCTTAGTGGTTTGTTGTTGTTGTTGTTGTTGTTGTTGTTGTTGTTGTTGTTGTTGTTGTTGTTGTTGTTGTTGTTGGTGGTGGTGGTGGTTCTGTAGTTGTCTTCAAATAAATGCAACTCGAACAACCAGGTCTTGACGGAATCAAATTCTACCCTATCGAGGACGTCTAACGCGGAACGGAACCAACCCAGTTACACGGTTCTCGGTACTTCTCGGATGAGAGGTAGTAGCATGTGATGACTTCTTTGAAACACAATCGATCTCGTGAACACGGGAAATGACGCCGACATCATCGGTGCGCCTGAAAAAGAGAGTCCGTCCCGAGGGTCGCACTGTGCCGCGACACCACACTCCAAAGAATTATCGCGATCGTATCCTGTACTTGCAACGATGGATGCAAGGGACCTTGTTTTCGCACATGCGATTGAGTTCGTCAACTACATGTAAGAATTGCGTCATGAGCACTTTGCACCTACCAGTTGCTGTGTGATGTGTTTTTTCCTCGTCTGTGCCCGCGTATCCTCGCATCCCACCCCTTGCCAATGTGGCCTCTGTGAACACGTAGACGTAGTCGTCTTCATCTGGTAGTCAAAGAAAGAAGGCAAGGGGTGCGAGGGAGGGTAAATAGCCGTTCTTTCATGGTGGATCTGTCTGCATATGTAGACTATTGGGTCTACTACAGGTGTCTACAACGTACCGCCGCCACATCCAAAACACACGAAAAGAACGTTAGACTCTTGGACAAATAACGCGATTACTCTCCAAGTGGCGAACGTCATCTCTCCATTTAGACTATCAACGTTTAGGCAGATCGTGGTTTAACACTTTCGGGACATATCATCCGAGGATCACGTTCATACCTTGGGCGTCATGTGCTGTGTTCCAACTCCATGCGCTTGAATCGGTTGGCGAGGACGGAAGTGATGATGTGCAAAAATCACTATTTACAACATGCTGCGCGGTCTCCCAAACAAATTTCCAATGGAAACAAGGCTAAAATCTCACTCACCCTCGCGGAAACAGATGTTGCTCAGTTGCTCCATATCAGGCAGGTGGCGGTTGCTGTGAACGGGGCCGTTTCACTTGCACAGCTCCAGGCGGAATTCTCTATGTGTCGGCGTTTGCTTGTAGCTCAAAGCGGGGGTGTTGTGCCTGCGGTGTAAACTCAAGGTGGGATTTGGGAATGAGGAATCGGGGCTATCGTGCTGCACCTCTCGAGATGTACCATGGTACCTCTTCGAGAACACATACATCATTTTTGTCTTCTTTTCTGGGCTGGCCCTTTCCTGCAACTCTCTTGGTTCTTCGTGGTGGGAGCTTGTCGAGATGTCGAGCGCCGCAGCTGAATACCCAAACGGCACCAATTAATTCCGCCGCAAAAACACCTGTACCTTCCTCATTGGTCGATTCGTCACATTTCCGTCGCAATACAAGCAAAATCACTCGCTCGTCGCGGGCATAAATCTCAAGGAAGTTGAAGTAGAGCATGGCCCACAGGGCTTCCGCGTCCGTCACCACCGTCGTTTTGTTCCTCGCCGACCTGCCATTCTTGCCCGCTTACTCCACCTGTGTCCCGATCTTGACCATATCCGCCGTCACCTTGGGGTCCTTGTCGAACTCGGCCACTGCGGCCATGAGCATCGCGGCAAAGAACAAGTTGAACAGCAGCGGGGCCAGGTTGCATTCCTGTCGGAGGCCTTGGCCCACGTCGATGCACTGCCCGTCGTCCGTGCGCCCTCGTGAAAATGGCGAAAATGACCGCCAGCATCTTCGGGAGCACGCCGAAGCATCGGAGCACGTCCCACAGTAGGTCTCGGTCCACCGAATCGTACGCCTTGGTGGTCGACGACGCACCTGTGTATGTAGATGCATGTGCGCATGCGAACACAAAAACAGCGAGAGCAACAGCCCGTTACTACAGACTCCCAATTCGCGATGAATCTTTGTTCTGCAATGCAGAACCGACGGGAACAAACAACTGTCTCGAAAACGTTTACTTGTAGTCGTATGTACAAGTTGAACCAAGAACATAATGCCCTTCGTAGTACCGTACAGTACTACTGCTGCCGCCGCGCTTCGGAGGCTCACCAACAAACTTGACTGCCATCGCACCAAAGAACACTTACTCGTAGCCTACAGAGCCGCTCTTCGTGTGACGCACCGACCGCCGGACGAGATGAGCGCACCGACACACCACCAGCGGTTACCTCTCTTCCCTTGAAAATACAAGTTGCCTCGAAGACAGACAGGGACGAAAACAACAACACTCGTCTGCGATCATGTAGCTTTCCGACAAAGTTTGCTTGCAGCTTTCTTTAGTAGGAAGCAGCGAGAGGGGCGGGGAGGGATCACCTCTTGGTCATGAAGAGCACGCGAAACATGTGAAGACGTGCGGCTGATTGTGCCGCATGTACCGTACAAGTTTTTTTGTACAGGCTACCCCTTTCACGACGCTTCGGTGGCAGCGGTGGTGGAGCAGCCAAGCCGACCACGGGCCCACTTCTTCTGTAAACTTGAGCCCGCCACGGAAAGTGCGGAATATGCCCCCACAAAACGCGAGCAACGCGACTCCTCGCGTAGTAGGCAGTACGATGTTGCGACCCGGTTTCACCCACAAGATGGAGCGTTCAGGAGGTATGATTGTATTGGCAACGCAGCTTGCCTCGGGCAACCGTGCTGGTCCTCCACGAGATCCTCGGAATATTCTTGAAGATGGTGTACTGTAGAGAGCGCAGAGAGAAGATGACGATCGCTCACAACCGATCAATATTCTTATGCAAAAAAGTACGCGTGCATTCATTATCGTTGCATCCTTACGGCGACGGTTATATGTCAAGAAGCAAACGGTCAGCAACACGGACAGCCATCGCCCGATACTCAATCTATTGGCGAGAGTACAGACCAGATAAATATTCGCGTAAGGTTGCAACCACAACCAATCGGTGCTGCATACACAAGTTCGCGCGCTATTCTTGTTGCATCCTCAGCGTTTAATATCACACGCATCATCTGCGGGTGCACGGATCAGCGGCATATGGTAATTGTGCCGATGTGTGTCGAAGAGTACAAATAAATCCAATCGCGGCGGAATACTCCTCCCGGGGCACGTGGCATACGTTTGCCCCGAGCGTCTCGTTGGCAAGTTAATCCCAGCCTGTGTAATCCTGTATGTACATTGGACGGCAAGGCTTCAATCTGATGGTAGGTGGGCAACTATACGCGAAAATATTTCGAGATCGGAAGTAGCTACAATGGATTGGGGCATGCGACGAAACGAAGTCAACAACATCATGCATGCGCGCGAAAAAATACTGCAATGGTCGAAGTGTAGCGGAACGTCCTGCGCGGGGAAGGTGGCAGTGTTTTGCCCCGAAACTCTGGTTGGCAGGCTTAACAGGTAGACACACAGCCATACCCGCGTCGATCGGGCTCGGTATCCTGTTGTACGGTAGGTTGGACGGGGCTTCAGTTTCATGGCCGGTAGGCAATGCTAGCTCCGACAATGATAAAGATCAGAGCAACTCGGCCGGGAGCGCTCGTGTTTCGGGTTTGAGACAGCCGATCACCGATACAACCAAACGTTAACGCCCGAGGTACCAATCAAGCTGAAACTTGCTCATGGCGTCCAAAGTAGTGCAGGACGGCTGATGGGGTCATTTCTCGCGCCTCGTGGGTTCGGGACAAGAAGGTGCTTAGAAAAGCAGACAATTATTCACATTTTTCTTTCCCTTCTGTCAGACTTATTGAGACCGTACCGGTCTCTTGGAGGAATACTCATCAGACAGATCAGCGAAACACAATCCTGCCCTACTACCTTACCCCACCCCGGTGTTTGCCATCGGGGTTGGGTTTTCGTCGCTTGGCAACGACGTTGTAAAACAAGCCGCCCCCCCCCGGTGTTTGCCATCGGGAGTGGGTTTTCGTCGCTTGG